TTTTCTTTTTGAGATATTTTTGCTATAGGGTGCATGCATTCACTGGAAGGACAGAGTGAGACAGAGAGACAGAAAGCAAGGAATCACTCCCCCCCTCCCCTCGTTGTGATGGTCACACCTCAATCCCTTCTTCGCCACTCTCCTCTTGAAATTTTTAGGTGTGCACACGCATGTACCTGGCATGAGTTTCAAGCAATTGGGTCCAGGATTTGAACCACAGTTGGCTATGTGGGAGTCCAGTGACATAACCATTAAGCCATCTGCTAGTCTCACCTAGTATGAGTTTCAAGTCACCAGGTTCAGGACTCAAATCGCTGTCCATCATGTGGTAATCCAACACCTTAACCATCATGCCACCTGCTGGCCTCTGGGAATCAAGATTTTTAAAATCATCCTAGTCTCCAAAGTCTCATCAGGCTGTGACTATAAAAGGTCACATATTTACCTTTTTAAATTATAAAATCTAAGAAACCTGCAAAAAAAAAGACCTTATCATCCATGAATGTCAGTTTAATAAATTCCTAGATGAATGCTCAGGTACTATCATCCAGTGCAAAAAATCGAACACAGTTAACACCCAGGACCTCTGCTTGTTTTCTTAGTCATGCCTTTTTCCAGCCCTCTAGAGGTAACCACTACCATGACATTTTATAATCGCTTTTTTGCTTTGTGTTATAATTTTACTGTATGAGTCCCTAAACAACATGGAAGGATTGATATTCTTTTGAACTTTATTTAAATGTATTTCATGCTTTTGTGTATGGCTTCTTTTGCTTAACATTGTATATCTATTTTTATTCATTTCTGTTTTGTGTTTACAGCTGTAGTTGTTTGCTTTTCATTATTCTGTAGTATTCTATTATATCACTATACCACAGTGTTTTTCTCCATTCTATATCCTGATGAGTGTCTCTGATTTGGGGCTATTATGACCAGTACCGCCATGAGTAATTTTTTTTTTTTATGTATTCTGGTGCACAGAGGTAGACATTTCTGTATATCTGTGTGTGTGTGTGTGTGTGTGTGTGTGTATGGAAGTAGAATTGGAAACATTCATTCATTAGAAGAAAGGGACAGAGGCTGAGTTACAGTTCGGTGGACTCTTGGGATGGACAGGAATTAGAGTCTGGGACCCTGTTAAAACCCCCACTTTGGGTTGGAACCTTAGAGAATGGGCCTGCTCTGAGTGACGTGCCTTGGGAGTGCTGATGATCCACAGAGACAAGTGAGAGGCTGAACTGTGATTTGGTAGTTTTATGGGGCTGAACAGACAAGATTCAGTGCCCATCGAGGGTTGAGATCATGATGAAACACTTCCCACTCTGGGCTGAGACCCAAGGGCAGCCTCCCAGCAGAAGATCACTGTTTTACAAGGTTCTTTTTCCCCCCAAAGGGTGGGTTGAGCAGAGACAGAGGGAATTGGAAAAAGACACGAGGCACTGATGTCATGTTGTTTATTGGCTAAGTTTAGTGGGAGCTCACAGAGCTCTTAACAGGCTCACAAAACCCAAAACAGCATTCGCAGGGATGTCCTCCCTCTTGGACCTAGTAACGTGTGTGAAGAACACTCAGAGCATTTTCCTCCCTCTCAGAACTCACAGCACATGGAGTTGAGCCAAGCTGAGCCAAGGCCAAGCCAAACGAAGGCCATCAGAGCTCACCAGCCTGAACTAAGGCCAAGCAGAGCAGGACTAGCTAGAAGAGCTGTGCAGGGGAGCATAGGGCTGACCAGGTGCTCCCTTAATCTTAAAGGGGCTGCAGACTATAGTGGCTCATTGCCAAAACCAAACAGTTGCATATGCACTGCCCATTGCGTTCAGTGGCGTAAAATGGCAAAGTCATAATTACATAACAAGTGTGCAAAGCGCAGTATAACCAATAGCATAAGTTGTTTACCCTGTGGCCTTCAAACATGATAAGATAGGAGGTGATGGAGCCAGACTAAATCATCTTGACTACATTTGCAATACAGTCACAGACTCTCCTGGCCCAGAAAGTATCAGGCCTTCCTCCCATCCTCAGCAACTGGTAGAAAGAAGTAAATAGTCTCTGGAGAGAGAAAGCAGCGTTCTGTGCCTGGAATTAGTTAAGTTCTAATCCTTTCCTTGATCTTGACAGGTAATTGCCCATTATCTTTTCAGCTCACTGATATCTTTTCTGATGAAGATGTCCTTTTTGTCTTAGGAGAAGTTTAATATTAATCAGTTGTTATGGCACATGTCCCTATTCTATATGAGTGCCAGAAATATGGGTCTGTTTCACACACCTCTGCAGAGTTAACTTGGGAGTTTCCAAGGTTGCTAGCAAGTTTTTCTGGTCTATTCTCATGGTTGCCGACACTCTGGGCTACTCCTCTGTCTGTCTGCAGGATCTCTCTTGCCACATGGGGCCCAATATCCTTTTGATAGCTGTTATTGCCTTGTTCCACTTTGCCCTTAGCATGGATTTGGGCAGTGGTATATTAGAGATGGCCCACACGGGTTTACAAGGACTGATGGTTAAGTTTTCAGGAACTTTGTGAACTAGTGGCTAAACACAGCCAGTATTAGAAATTAAATCACGGGGCCAGCAGGTGGCATGGAGGTTAAGGCACTGGACTCCCACATGGCCGATCGTGGTTTGAGTCCTGGACCTGGTGACTTAAAACTCACACCAGGTGCATGTGTATGCTCAAATTCCCAGGAAGAAAATGGAGTAGAATGGATTGTGGCATGGCCATACTCCCTTGGAGATGATTTCTTGCTTTCTGTCTCTGTCTTCCTGGTGAGTGCACATGCCCTATAGCAAACAAACAAACAAACAAACAAACAAAAAAACCCTCTCAAAAAAATTTTTTAAAAAATTATGCGGCCAGCCTATGGTGTGTGGTTAAGGCAGCTATGTCAACTACATGGCTGACAATGCAGTTTGAGTCCCAGATCTGGCAGCTTGAGGAACACACCAGGTGTAGGTGTGTGCACGCATTATCAAACTCCAGAATGGAGGGAGAAATAGGAGAGAGGGATTGTGACATGACCATCCTCCATGGAGAGTGCTTTCTCACTTTCTCTCTCTCTCTTGCTGTCTCTCTCTCTATCTTCCCTCTCTCTCTCTGGAGAGTGCACATGCCCTATAGTAAATTTTAAAAAGTAAATATACTACCAATGTGTCAATTCCTATTTTACCATGTTTTACTATTTATCCTCTTGAGATTATTATATTTATATATTTATATTGTCTGGCAGAAATTCTATACAATGGTGTATTTTTGCATATCTCTTTTTTGTTTCACGTTTACTGATACTACTGCTTGAAAATGGTTACCGAGAAATATTTACACCATGGAAATTGGCAAATGCTACAACTCAGAACTTTTAAAAAAATTTAAAGAGCTAGTTGTTAAGCATTTATTAGTACATCACTGGACATAGATCCCCTTTTCAAATTCTTACAGCAGAGTTCAAACCAGACAATAAAACTGATAGGACACAAAGGATAACAAAAGGGAATTACTATGCAGAGAACTTAAAAACCGATTATTAGAAGTGATTACTCTGAGACACAAGCATATACCTCTTGATCATAGTCCCTACTAATGCTTCTTTGCCTAAATCTGGTCTTGGGTATGGGTGGGAGAAGTCAACTTTCCTGCCTTAGCCTACCCTCAAAGAGAATGACATTGAGCAAGTCTTTCCTGCATGAATTCCAGGCCTAAACTGTGAAATACACAAAGAATAAAATTCCTTCCCTCATCCATCCTCTCTACTCTTTCTCTCCTCATTTCTGTTCTTTTTTTTTCCTCCCAAGATTGAACTATTATAAGATGATTGGCAGCAAGAATATTCATGTTCTTTAATTTTTACCATAGGGACTAACCTTACTGACGATTGCTCAGAATATAGTCATCAGTATATATATATATATTTTTTTTTTTTGAGAGATTTTCACTGTAGGGCGCGTGCGCTCGCCAGACAGACAGAGACATAGAGACAGAAAGTGAGAAATCACCCCCCAGGGGGGATGGTCACGCCGCAATCCCTTCTCCTCCATTCTCCTCTCGGGATCTTGGGCATGCACGCACACGTGCCCGGTGTGAGATTTTTAAGCCACCGGGTCCAGGACACGAACCACAGTCGACTACGTGGGAGTCCAGCGACATAGCCATTACGCTAACTGCTGGTTCCCAGTCATCGGTATATTTCAATGTCTGAATTACATGGTGTTTGTCTTAGTCCACCTGTGGAGCTTCATCAGAACAGTTCAGGTTGGAATATGGGCTTTGAAGACTGCCTCCACTTCCCCTTTTTTGAACAAATTTTCACCTATCTTGGAAGGGAATCAAGAGGAAAAAGAAAGAAATAAAAGATTTAAGGGACACAAAAATGGAAAATTTTCTGTTGATTATAACACTTATGATGATATTTTTAACTGGACTAATGTATAGTGTATTGATGCTGGGAAAATTCATTTTGCATGCTGTAATGATACACAGTGATATTCTGTATATATATAGAATAGAAAGCAATTCTAAGACACTGACTTTGTCCAAAACAAAGCTCTCCATCTGTAGGATCAGGATGTTCATTTATGCATTTTCCTCTGACAATTTTAGTCAGCCCTTTGTTTATTACTTAGAATTTTGTTTATTACTTAGAATTAGATTCATTATAAGCCAGTGAAAACCTGAAGAAAGAAATAGCAACCTACCATGAGGGTCTGGGCCTCCCGTTTCCCGTATGGTGTTAGGTGTACTGAATATATCATCTCTGCCCCTCCCCAGTGCCATTCTATAGGGAGGGTATAGCATCACCTTCAAGACAAAGAAATCAAGGTTAGAGATCTGGAATCGCACTAAAACAACAGAACCGATAAGAGGGAGAGTCTAGAGGAGAACTCTTACCTAACTACAAAAGCAAGCTCCTATGCACCTCAGAATATCAGGCTATTTAACTCAGGGGCCTAAAAGTGGATATTCACACTACTATGGGTGATTTTCTTACTGATATGTTATTTCCTTTCAGACTATTTATGACCAGTGGTTCATTACTCTTTTTAACATTGTCTACACGTCACTACCTGTTTTAGCCATGGGGATTTTTGACCAGGTACGTGTTTTTCTGTATCTGTTATAACTTAGCTTCTCTGCTATGCCTTTTACATGCTTCTCACTTCTCAGTAGTAGATATGATTCATAGAAAGAGATCTAGGAATGCAGTTGTTTTATTAGATGTTGCATGGATCACAAACCCTTCCAGATCTCCCTTTGCTCCTAGCTTCTCTGATCAAAATTCAGCTTCTTTCCTCTTCAGAGATTCACAGTCCACATTACTACCCTAAAGGCTCTGAGAAGTCCCTGCATAAAGTGGTCTCTAACTTCATTTTCCCAACTTGTATCACAGTACTTATTTATTTATTTACTTATTTATTACATAGTACCTATGCCTCAGAACTAGTGTCTTGTGCTTATATACTGGGAAATGCTGCCTTAGTCTCTGAGTGTTTGTAGAGAATATTGCAGTGATAGACAGACAGTCATGGAACTAGGTTGGAGCACAGAGGGCTAGCATCTGCACTGAGACATCCTTGGCTAGCACGGCCCCAGAACAGGAACTGCCAGCCAGTAGAGCAGCCTGCCAGTGGGAGAGAGGACGTGAAAACCCACAGCAACGCAGGGGAAGAGCACAGCCCTTTGCCCAGCATCAGTGTGCTGCTTGAGAGGGGAGAAGAGAGGGAATCAATTACAAAAATGGTGGATCCTTGGCACACTCAGAGCCTTGGAAGGTACTTCCTGGGATGGGGGGAAAGTCTGGCTGCCCATGGGGAAGTGGAAGGCTAGCCAGCTGAGTTTGTTTCCATGGCACAATTACAATATCTTATTAAAAAAAGGTTTGTTTCCTATTTTTTTTTAAAGTATTTTTAAGGAGACCAGATTTTCTCCAGACTGTTGTTAGACCTGTGTGCTAGGCTTCATTTTTCTAGCGCAAAGCTAGTTATTGCAAAACATAAATCATCACATTATGAGCTGCCTCCACTCTCCCATTCTGTTGGCTTTGTAGTCAGTTGTGAGTCACTTCTCTTATGTAAAAGGGCAGTTTGTGAAGGCATATTTCGTGGAATTCTACAAAAAGTAATGAACTTCTGAAGACCTTAGATATAAAGGATTAAGCACATTCACTTCCAAATGCCTTGTTTGCAAGTGTTTCTTTTCTTGTTGCTTTGTGGCTTCCCAAAATGTGAAATAAAATAATAAAAATAAGGCAGTTTCTGGGAAAAGATGGTTATGATGAAATTCAAAAATATATCTATAAGAAGGCACCTTATTGTCATCAAGTTAAGCATACACATAAAGTTCTAGAAGCATTGCTTTAGTTTTCCCCAGGACCTAGTTAGTGCCAAATGTGCTACTTTCTCATTCTACCTAAATTCTTTACCCTGCACAAAATTTAGGTAAGTGGTATTGACTCCTCACCAGGTAGATCCTGAACCCATTGATTTCAGCCCCTTTTCCACTTGAAATACCAGATGGAATCCCTCCACCCCCACTCTGCCTGCTCCCTCCCTCCTGTTCACCTCATCCCAGTGTTGGGTGCTGATTTGCCAGTTGTGAATCCATAGCTCTCTGCTGCCATCTCCTGCTCACTACCACTCCTTGTCTTAGCCATTCATTCCTGGGGCCCATTGGATATGGAGGATTTGCTGGAATTCTGGGAGCATGAATGCTTCTGAGGAGTCTTAGTGGCCAGCAGGAGTGTATTGAAAAGAAATTTCATTTGAAGCTAAATATCTGGGTTCAAGTCAAGTCTTGGTTCTGCTGCCTAAGAGCTGTATGACCTCTCATGAATCTCTTTGAGACTCAAGTTCCTTTTCTATAAAATAAAGATTGTGTTATTATCTTTTGGGTTACTGTCAGAAGGTAAACAAGATACTGCCTTGTTCTGGCCCAGTGACTACTAGTGCATATTAAGACATGCTTAATAAATAGGCATTTGCTATTTCTGAAGACAGGGAATACCAGGTTCCTCTGACTCCTCCTCAGCCCTTCCCATCTGACATTATACTCCTTTTGTAGGATGTGAGTGAGCAGAGCAGCATGGACTGTCCTCAGCTCTATGAACCTGGACAGCTGAATCTACTTTTTAACAAGCGTAAATTTTTCATCTGTATGGCACATGGAATCTACACCTCGTTAGTCCTGTTCTTCATTCCCTATGGGGCCTTTTACAACGTGGCTGGAGAAGATGGGCAGCACATCGCAGACTATCAGTCCTTTGCAGTTACCATGGCCACGTCTTTGGTCATTGTGGTCAGTGTGCAGGTAACCTTGGGTGAAGCACCTTAAGTGGATGGGTTTACAGCATTTACAATTCCGTTTTACTGTAGGCTGACTTTGTATACTTGGTAGGGAATAATCATAAATACTAGGGATTTCTTTTTAATTACACATTTCGAGATGAACACAGGAAGCTTTCACATCAATTGCTAGATGTGAGGGATAAGCACTAGGTATCTATAAACTCCATGTTAGCATAAACCTCACAATTAATCACTTTTTCTTTTCTTTTCTTTTCTTTTTTTTTAAAAGAGGTTTTTCCTATGGGGCACATGCACTCACCAGAAAGACAAAGAGACAGAAAGCAAGAAATCACCCCCGGGGGTCAGAGGTATGGCCATGCTGTAATCCCTTCTCCATTCTCCTCTCAGGATCTTGGGCATGTACGCACATGCCCCTGGCGTGAGTTTGAGCCACCGGGTCCAGGTCTCGAACTGTGGTTGACTACAGCAATGTAGCCATTTTGCCATCTACTGGTCCCACAATTAATCACTTCTTTGGGTTAGCGTGCACATTGTATCTCTTCACATACAATGTACAGAAGTGATTATACTGTTCATACTACTTCTTGTGTTTGAAGAAAATTTTTTCAATGATTACAGAGAAACTTTCTTACGACTTCTTTCATAACTTTCAGGTTTTAAAGTGAAATCTAAATTTACTTGGCAATACATTCCTGTGGAATTATTTAAGGCTCAGTGCTATATCTGTGGCATATTGGAATCTCAAATTCAGAGAAGCTCTTCTGATGGGGATACTTTTTTGATACTCCATTGGTCAATGGAGTTATGTTTCTATTTTTTTTTAAATGCAAATGGTGGTCACTATTCTTAGCTACTGAGAATTCAGAAAAATCTTCAGTCTATGAAAATTTGTAGCTCTGGGTGGGCATAACAAACAATGTAAATTCTTTTGTTTTGTTGCTTTTTGATTACTGGGTAAGCCATGAAGAATTAAGTGATCTTCTCTTTGTCATGGGAGCACTCCTTCCAACTCTCTGAATTCTTCTGGAGAGAGGAGGGTGGTTATGGGATATATAGTGATGTCTTTTTAGTGGTAATAGTTTATTCACCTCCAGGTTAGATCTGTTACTTGGCACTCTAAGGGATGATCTTAAAAGTAGTTAGTGAGATAAAAGGTTAAGACCAGGTGGGAAAAAAACAGCAACAACAACAACAACAACAACAAAACAAGTGAAAAACACTCTTCAGATTGTCTTTATCTACTATATAAGTAAAAGTAGTAAACCATCTGGAAGATTCACTGGTATAACATGTAATAGGCATTACATTTTTTTTTTGAGAGGTTTTTTTGCTATAGGGTGCGTGTGCTCGCCAGACAGACAGAGAGAGACAGAGAGACAGAAAACAAGAAATCACCCCCCAGGTGGGATGGCCACGCTGCAATCCCTTCTCCTCCATGCTCCTCTCGGGATCTTGGGCATGCACGCACACGCGCCTGGCGTGAGTTTAAGCCACCGGGTACAGGACTCGAACCACGGTCGACTACGTGAGAGTCCAGCGACATAGCCATTACACTAACTGCTGGTCCCGGCATTAAATATTTTTAGTGACATTGTTCTTCTTTTTTTGGAGAGGTTTTTGTAATAGGGCGCGTGCGCTCACCAGAAAGACAGAGAGAGACAGAGAGACAGAAAGCAAGAAATCACCCCCCAGGGGGGATGGCCACCCCACAATCCCTTCTCCTCCATTCTCCTCTTGGGATCTTGGGCACGCATGCACATGTGCCCGACGTGAGTTTTAAGCCATCGGGTCCGGGAGGTGTACCTCGGTCTACTACATGGGAGTCCAGCGACAGAGCCATTAAGCTAACTGCTGGTCCCAGTGACATTGTTCTTCACAATTAGCACTCCAAATTTTATTGGGTCATTGAAAAAGTCATGAAATATTTTTCCATTTTTTCTATGCAAAAGTGCATTATGATTTTTCCTTGACCCAATAGTTAATTTTATCTTTTTAATGAAAAAAAATAAAACCTATTGAAATTCCTATGTATTGTTTTCTCTTTTGTTTATTCATGAGTTTTTTCTTATATGCTGTTATGGTAGTCTTAATGCTGTGTTTTTGTGTTAATATTACATTTAGATTTTTTTCCTCCATAAAGCACACAATTATTGTTCCAGTTAGATGTCAAAGTTGTATTTCTCCTTTTTCACATATTCACATATTGAAAAACCATGGAAACAACATAATTTTAATTTCTTAAAATGTATTGCTTTTGGGACCAGTAGTTAGCGTAATGGCTATGTCGTGGGACTCCCATGTAGCTGACCATGGTTCGAGTCCTGGACCTGGTGGCTTAAACTCATGCCAGGCGCATGTGCATGCGTGCCCAAGATCCCGAGAGGAGAATGGAGGAGAAGGGATTGTGGCGTGGCCATCCCCCCTGGGGGGTGATTTCTCGCTTTCTATCTTTCTGTCTCTCTCTTTCTGGTGAGCACACGTGCCCTATTTCAAAAAAACAAAAACAAAAACAAACAAACAAACAAAAAAACCTTACAAAAAATTTATTGCTTTTTGGGGGGATCAGCAGATGGTGTAATGGTCATGTTGCTGGATTCCCACATAGTCGACCATGGTTCAAGTGCCAGACTTGGCAGCTTAAAACATACCAGGCATGTGTGTGTGTGTGTGCCTAAGATCCAGAGAGGAGAATGGAGTAGAAGAGATTGCAGCATGGTCATCTCCCCTAGGGAGTGATTTCTTGCTTTCTGTCTCTGGCAAGTGCATGTACCCTGTAGCAAAAATCTCTCTCTAAAATTTATTACTTTTTTTTTAATGCTAGAGGACATGTGTACATGCATGAAAGAGAGAAACCCTCAATAGAGGCCAGTCATGCCATAATCCTTTTCCTTTCAATTCTCTATCTCATTGAGATCCTAAGCATGTGGTGAGCCCAATATGCTTTCAAGCTGATGAGGCTAGGACTTGAACCCTGGTCAGCCATGTGGGATCCAGATTCTTCTGTGCAGCACCTAACTGCTACACTACAGAGTTGCCCTCCTCATACCTTTGCATTTTAAAAACATTGTTATTAACAACGAAGATTACAGAATTTTGCACCCCTGCCATTTGAAGATTTTAAAATACGCTGTTGAAAAATTCTTATCTTTGATTTTAAAGGTTTTATAAGAATGAGATCCATGCTTTCTGAGAGGGAATTTACTCTTAGAACTCAAAGTAATCATTGTCCCCTCATTCATGATGTTTCTGGTGGAGCTACCAAATCTACTCGGTCGGGTCTTAATGACCATTTGTCTGTCCAGGACCAATTTTCAGCTTTCTAACTCCTGCAAGGCAATGGTGGCCCTTCCCACCCCTCCAGTCTCATCACTCATAGTATTACAGGCACACTGGCCTTCGCTGGGTTCTTGGAATGTAGCAATCTCTTACCTACTTACGCTTTTGCTGTTTCCTTCCTGGAACATTCTCCCTTTTACTTCCCTCAGAAGTCATTCTTTTACAGAAGCATCTTTTGATCTTCTTATTTAAATTAGGCTACTCTTATTCGCACTGGTGGACTAAAACTCTTCTTTTTTTAACCTCATAACTGTCATCTCCACTTGTAAGTACATATAAGTACATATTTAGTTGTTTATTCCCTTGTTTTATGTCTCTAACTCCTTGATTATGTGAAGGCAGGGGTAATGTCTATTTTATTCATCCGTATATGTTGATGGCCTAGGATATTATTTGGAATATAGTAGACAGAAAATAGATATTTTTTTAAAAAAAGAATTATTTTTTATTTAACTTTATTTATTATTATTTTCCAGCTTGATCAGAGAGAGACAAAGAGAGAGAGAGAATGTGAGAAAGCAAGCCAGTAGGTCTAGGCCTTGAACTGCAGTTGGCCATGTAGAAGTCCAGTGTCTTTAACCACCCTGCCACTTGCCAGCCCCCAAAATAGATATTTTTAAAGTATTAAATAAATGAGGGAGATATTGAGAGGAAATTCATCCCTTACTGATTCCTTTGTTAACAGAGAGTTTATTTGGGTGTGTCAAATCCCTAGGAAAGAATCATTGTAACTAACTTGTGTTTACAGATTATTTCTAGTTTTCAAACATGTCCACAGTAAGTTTACAACCAGTCCCAGAGATAGAATCCTCCTGTGCTGAGTCTAGCAGAATTACCCAGCTGTGAAATTTGATGTGAGCAATGTGTGAGTGAGAGATTTTAGGGGCCTTCAAAAGTAGAGCACTGGCCCACCCTAGGTGGCAGAAGAGGTAAGTGTAATGCTGGAAGTCACACGTCTAACCACAGGTTCAGATCTCAAGTCCACTTGAAACACACTGGGGATGTATACCCCAAATCCTAACTTGCTAGGAGAAGGGGGTCTATCACCTGATAAGACCCTGCTAAGGATGTTTCTTTTCCTTTGTCCTTCTATCTCTCTCGTGTGCTCTTGTTTTCTCACTCTCATCAAAGAAGTAAATTAAATAAACCTTTTTTTATTTTAATAAAAAGCAATTTTCTGGGGACCAGCAGTTGGTGTAATGGCTATGTCGCTGGACTCCCATGTGGTTGACCGCAGTTTGAGTCCTAGATCCGGTGGCTTGAACTCATGCCAGGTTCGTGTGCGTGTGTGCTCAAGATCCCTAGAGGAGAATGGAGGAGTAGGGACTGTGGCATGGCCATCTCTCCTGGGGGGTGATTTCTCGCTTTCAGTCTCTCTGTCTCTCTCTGTCTTTCTGAAGAGCACATGCACCCTATAGCAAAAACCTCTCAAAAAAAAAAAAAAAAGGCAATTTTCTGCAGGGGAGAGCCCCACATGGCCTCAGAGGGGACATTGTGCCTTGATCCCCACATCGTACAGCTAAGCAGAACTTGGGTAAAATGCATTTATAGTACCTCTACTGTTAAAAAACAAGCAAACAAAAACCTTTTAATTATTATTATTACTATTTTTTATTATACAAAGGAATATATTCTGGGAAATAAATTTAGGAAAAGCATAAAAGT